ATATTACTTTGATATTTTATTTACCTTAGACCACATTTAACTTACAGCATACATAATATTGTAATAAAAACGCGTGCGGGTCCACTGAATAAGTGCAATCTTTCTGCACTGTGAAGAGGGAAAACACAGATAATCACAGTTTGTGATGAATGGCAGGTTGTTTCTTCATGCAAACTAGATTTGGTGTTAAAAATTCAATTAAGCTTCTTTATTTTAGGGGTTAAGTGAAGGTGGGTCATTTTTGACCCGGAGGACAAGGGGAGTATACAGAATGTAAAGACAACACAAGGGTTAACAAAGGCTTATGATGAACAGAACAGTCAAATATATTATCCGACCATTAGAGGCTCATGATGAGCAAAGTAATTCCCAAAATAATAATATATTCCCAATATATTCATTTGTTTTTTCTTACATGTTAAAATGAGCAATAATCATTACATCTGTTGTGTCACGGGTTAATATTGACCACATATGCTTTCCTATGAAAAAAGTATACCAGTATATATTTGCATATTCCATGCATAGTTGTTCCTTCATCATCAGCTGCCCAGATCATATTCTTCAAGCTTACTGGGAATGTATTTTATTAATATTATATTATATATTGATAGCGCCCTCTGAATGGAACCAGCCGTTGACCTTGGGTCCTGGATTGTAGACCAGTGTCAAACGTTCCACCCATTTGTCCCAAACATGTCTTATGGCTGCAAGTTTGTGATTCTGATTATATTATGTGATTGTTCTCTACCCTGCCTTTCATAAGGGGTTATAGACCACGTTTTTTTGCTCTTCTTTCTTTGAGCTTCTGAAACATCAGGGTCCTCTTCCTCATCAGACTTCTTCAGCGAAGCTGGATCACATTTTTTTTTTTTAAACGAAAAAATATTGAAATTTATTTTATTGTATTTAGTAGGTCATTGTTGAGGATGTAATGAAACATTGTTATGATCATTAAAAACTAAAGGTATGTTTCACACATCAAAACTTGAAAGTAATGACCCTAACACAATAGGAGGGTTAAATAGTGTGTGATGAGTCCTTATTCAAGTGAAATTTTCTCAATATGGATAGATATCATTGCGGGATATTATGTTACGTAAATTCAGCACAATCTGAGATCAGCGATAAATGTGTGATTATTACGGTTAATGCACATATGGAAACACATTGTTTTGATACTTTCTATTTCATATTTATTTTAAAGCCCTAACACACCCGAAGTCTACACACAGGCGTTTTCTCCTCCACCCAACCTTCTCAACACTGTGATTGATGTCTCCCTCACTCACCTGCTGTCGCACCTGTGAGAGCAGGACAATTACATCATTATCATTGTTATAAGTTGGAAAACCTTGATGACTACACAAACGATAATTCCCAGTGCTGCTCCATTGAACTGAGGTCCACACAAAAGGTATCAACCAGTTTTACAAAAATTAAATTCAGATATGCTTATTAATTTTTTTTTTAAAAAGGCCATTTTAAATGTAAAATGTCAGTTGACCGAGTATTTATCCGTCACAAATAATCATAATCATAGACAATCATTTTCCTCCGACTCATACAAGTTGCAACCGACCATTTTAAAGACCACAAGATAAAATATCCATCGTTAATGAAGCTGGCCACCTTGTCATTTATTAAAATGTGTTTATTATTTGTAATTCAGCCCATCAAGCTTTTATCACTAACAAAATGTGTGCGATATATCAGTTGAATTGACAACCCTGGTATTTGGATAACCACTGAGGGTCTAAATATAATTAATGATGACAAGACTTCAGAAAAACAACCCTGTGAAGATGCTAAATACAGTTTATACTCATTTTGACACATGCTGCACAGTCCTTTTCTTTTTGGACACAGTTGTCAAGATCTCATCATACTATCCCATAAGTATTCGAACTCATGAAAATCACTGCTGAGTTGAAGCTGAGAGAAAAATGTTGACTAATATAGATTCAAGTGAAAATTGAATCACGTCATTATTATATAAAAATGTAGTCACAATCAGGGTTGCGTGATCTGTAGAGATGACACTGCAAAACCTTTAGTGATAATCAACAACAATCTGACAAAGCAAATGTTACCAGAAGAAACACCTTGAGCAAATAGGTTACTGCTGTTTCCTGATTCTCTGTCAGTAAGGTAAGTGCTCTGAATCTATGTTTTTCTGAAAATACTTCCTTATTGTCAATAAACTAAGTGATGATTAATCCTTAACAATAAATTCATTTTTACCAGAAACCAGATTGAGGAACAATGAACCATACAGGTCAGGTTAGGGCAGGGCTTTGTTTTTCAGAAACTTGTTATTTCTTTCATTGGGAGTCAGTGACTAAACAGGCTGTCCGGACCAAAGAGTACAGCAGTGTGTGTTCTTCAGTTCACTATTGCCCATAGTGTGCAACAGACTGTCCAGCAGAGCCAGATCACATCCGCACCCAGAACCTCAGACTGTAAACTCTCACAACAGTGATTTTTTCAGACTGTGATGGATCTTAATATGTACATGTGCGAGCGTTCGCACTGCATGTGTAAATAGCTCTCATATTTTCAGACTGTGCACTGATGTGTTTCACTGCCACCAGAACATCACTAAGCATTCTGTTTTCTGAATGAACACTACAGTCTAAGCATTACGCTTGTGCCTGCAGCATCCCTCCTTCAGGAAGTGGATGAATAATGGCACCCAATAAATAAATGTTTATGATGTTGCTCTTTCAAAGTAATTTATCCTCATTTACATCCTGATGTATTCCCTGGCAATGAGTTACTAAGTAAGAACAGCAGTTTCCTCGTTTCAACAAAGAAACATTCATTATTTCAACAAGGAAATCCCAAGGATATTGTTCAGTTCATGTTTGATGTACTTTGAGGGTACCGCACAAGGAAAATGATCCCATCCAATTAGAGCAAGGAAAATACAAGTATATTTCCTTACCGTAACAGACATCCTAGTCTTTCAGGTGAAGTGACATCAAGAAAATAATTAACTCCAAGGTCAGCGAGAGTTTTGATTATCTTTAAAGGCTCAACTCATCTCTAAGGGATATTTCCTTATCGTTTCTTTATCTTTTTTTCCTCTTTCGTTCTTATAAGGTGATGTATCAGGAAAATAATCCTTCAATTTCAATTTACAACAAACAAGATTTGAGAAGTAGTCAAAAGAGCAGATTTTGCGTTTTAAAGGTGACGTCTCATATTTGTGGAAACTGTATGTATGAAAGGACATTCCGGTGGTTAAAGTTGCTCAGCTTTGTTTGCAAACCACCCACCATGAGAACTGACAAATTCAATTAAATCTGCAACACCATTAACAAATCTCCCTGAGAAGGCCTTGTTGTATTTATTCCATCCAAAGGGAAAAAAAGGAATGCACAGACTCTCTTTAAGCATTACAGCACCCTGACTTATAATATAATAAATAAAGCTTCATTCTGTAACAGCAAACCAGCCAAATGAGCATTATGACATTGTATATGAATCAGTGATTTGAAAGTTAAGTCAACTTTCATCAGGGTGGTCATGTAACAGGACTCCTTACAAATTTTGTGAAAACAGTGCAAGTTTGTTAACTCATATGTGATATGGGGATATGAATCTGTCAGTTTGTCCAAACTGAAATATTGGATGAATTGGAATGAAATTTATTATCCATGGTCAATCCCAATGACTCTGAGGATCTCACTTTTCACCCAATGTCACCGGCAGGTTGAGGTTTTCACCTATCCAGTGAAATATCTGGCAACACATTTTCATGATCCTCAAAGTCATAAGGAAATCCTAATGACTTTAGTTTCCCCTGACTTTCCCTCTAGCAATTTAGTTTCGACAGTCATGTTCCCCTCAGCATGAATTGTAACAACTTAAGTTATCGATTTACTTTTCATTTAGTATCATTATTTCAAAAATTGAACTTGTCCAATGGTTTATGACCAAATGTCTGCAATGACATTCCCAACAGCCTCAATTTACTGTGTTAAGTGCTAATTACTGTTACAAATGTTAGCATGCTAATTAAAATAAGCATGATTACAGATTATACCTGCTAAAGATCAGCATATTAGCATTGTCAGTGTGAGCATGCTAACGTTATCATTTAGTTCAAAGCACACGGTACAGCTTTACAGCAAACAGTAGTTTGGTTGTAGATTCTTAAATAAATCTTTTTTTATTAAGTTTGGTTTAGATCATGTTACTCTGTGCCTAATACGGCATGTTTTCAGCAATACAGTGTGTCATTGCTTGAATTTCTTTCTTGATATGTTTTACAAAGGTCTTGTCCTATCACTTGTATAGTGTTAGGAGACCTTTACTTATCTGTGCCCGTTTGCCATGTGGTGTGTGCTCTGTGTCATTATAGGTTTCTATTGTTTCTTATATGCAGTTTGCGCAACTAAGATTTTATTGGTGTGACCCATAATTATTGTGCTAATGGAAAAAGATTACAGCTGGTTGTGTGAATATACCCAGCAAAAGTGAACTGCTCTTACAGTCTGGAATATTAAGTTTCATTTTGGACAATGATTTATTTTTAACACACTATCTGTTTGAAAAATATATTTTTATATATATATTTTTTTTCTTTGGAAATTAAACCTTGAGGTTTCCTGTTAGTCTAGTGGCTGAGATGCATATTATGTACCATAATTTCTACGTTTCTGCATCTCATTTCCTCCCTTATATCTCCCCTTCTTTACTGCTGCCTGTCAGCTCTTAACTATTGAATGCAGGGAAAAATGTTCTACAAATTGGTTAAATTAATAAAATATTAATCAAGTTAAATTAATCTATTGAAACCTACATTACTGGTGACATTACTATTTCACTTTTAGGACATAAATGTTACACAACGTCAGTCAAAGTCACAGTTTATTTTCACAGAATTATTCAGTTCAAGAATATGAAGAGAGTTTTCTGTATGGAAAGAAAAGTTGTGAAATTTACATCAACATACATTATAATTTAAAAGTATAAACATATATTTACACAATTATCACAGTCATATAACAACAATTTCATTAAAACATTTTGATATTTTGAAACTAATATCAGAGTTCTTCCACTTCTTGCCAGAATGGTACAGCTGACAGACCTTATCTTTATGAAGTCATGCTATGTCAACTGAGATTCTTGATGTGAAAGAAATTCCTTGCTGAGAACGTTAAGTGTACATTACGGGCATTGTGAGCTATACATTTATGTTTAACTTGAACATTGGCAAAGACAGCCAGTTACACATATATTAGCAGTTATATTTATCATTTTTCTTTCAGTCTTTCTCATATTTTCCCTAAAGTGTCCCAGAGATTGTTGAATGGATTCAGGAGGAGTTGAAAAACAGGTCTTGTAGGGGAAACAGGTGCGACGAGGGTCTTGGAAAGGAGAGAAATGAGGTATATGACGATCACACCATGGTGCTTTTTAGTCTGTCGAAGATCTGTCGAACCTTTACTGCAGGGACACAGCCTTCCCTCACAATGGTGATGGTCCCTGTGGAAAGAAAAGTAAGACAGGCTTGAGTTAGAAAGTGTCTGTTAAAACACACAAAAAAGAACAAATGTAATAGGGATATTTTTACCTTCATCAATCTTAAGACAGTTGACCACAGTAGAAGCAACTACTTCATTAGAGTTCCCATCACACAGAACTCCTTGAATCTTGTGTCCCAGTCGACTGCAGCAAAATGAAAGGAAGCAGAGGGGGTAACTGAATGTGCATGTGGTTATCAAAAGTAAGTTAAATAATTCCTCTGCAGTAAAGTCAGTTCTAAATCTTTCCAAACTGAAACATGGCCCGATGTGTAGTGGGTCAGCTGAATAACAGCTGACATGCATGAGGACTTGAGTGCAGCAAAGTTCTGTGAAAAGACGCTTACTTGATGACCATGCTGTGGTGGGTGCTGTCTGCCTCTCCACTGGGATTGGCTGAGGTAATGGCAAGGGGTCCAGTGATGTCACATAGGTGGCAGGTCACAGTGTGGTCAGGGACGCGGATCATGATGCTGTCCTTGGTGCCAACACGGTCATAAGCTGGTCCCACTCCTGCATAAGATCATTTAAAGGCCGAGGTGAATACTGGTAACTGTCATTTATTTATCTCAGACAAAGATGTTTAACTACAGCTACCAAGTTTACCTAGCTTGAACAGCCAGTCGCCTTTGCTGACAATGCAGCTGATGCCTCCAGGATACACGTTCCTCATGAACTCCCAGAGCAGAGGACTGAAGGGAGGCTTGGCTTCTACCAGCTGCTCCACGCTAGAGATGCAGATACAGATGGGCTTCTCTGCTGGTCTGTCCTGGAGCAGGTCACAGACAACAGGTTGATGAGTTTCACACAGTGTGGAAACTACATTTAATGATCTGTCCCATATTACACTTCAACCAACATCTTATTTTTCAATTCTTACTTTAATATTGTAGATTTTCTCTATAGCCTGGGGATTCTTGCAGGAGGCGGCCAGGGCGTAGACTGTGTCTGTGGGAATACCACAGACTCCACCTTCCTCCAGAAGGGCAGCGATCTTCAGGAGACCACCGGTGAGTCGTGAATTTCCCACTGGACAGGGCGTCTCTGGAGAGGATTCCTCTTTCACTGTCTCCTGAGACAAGCCACAGAAGGAGGGACATGTTCATAATGTGAGCAGGATGAACACCACTATAGCATTAGAGGAGGAATAGAATATGAGTTTTTTGATTAGGTACCTTTATTAAGGGAGGGCCCATAGGTAGCAGTCTCTCTGAGAAGATGCAGTTGACCAGTGATGCCAGAGCTCCATATATACAAATTATTGAAACCAGAGCAAGCATGGCAACTAATGGAAAAAAATTGTGACAATATTTTCAGAATTTCGCTGATACAATTTTAATTTTAAGCCATTTCTACATTTAAAAACCTATAGAATATGTATAGAATGAGGATTTGTCTGTGCTTACTTTCTAGCCGGTATGGCAGTCGCTGCAGGGTGGACAACAGGAAACAGACCAGAACAACCTCCATGATTGTTGTTAGAACCAGCAAAACCAGGTTCTTGTAGGCAGCTGATATGAACGGTGGAAGGAATTACAATTGGCTCAACTAGTAATAATAATAACTGACAAGAATAATCCTTAATTTTAAAAAACAATGTGGTTAACCTTACCTATCAGCATGAGGAAAGCATTAATGACCAGGAAAGCAATGGCTCCTGCTGTAAAACCGTAGAATGCTTCTGTGGGAAATTGTAGCAGGTCACCTGCAAAAAAATGTGATAAGAATTTTGGGTAATTCAGTTGGAACAAATCTCCATTTAATCACATGTTTGTACCAACATACCTGCAAACCTAAACCAGGTCCAGGTTGCCCACACTGCTACATAGAAGGACGAGATGACAGATCCAAAACGCCCACCTCCTGTAACTTGCAGCCGGCTGACATAGGTCTGGATAATGGCTCCAGAGATGAGGACCCAAGGGACAGTCAGATTGAGGAAGGAAGGATTTGAGCTTGAGACACGTGCATGGACGGCTGAGAGGGCTGCAACCCCATTTGAAAGGTAGAACAGGGCATCTGAAGCCTGAATCACCTCCTGGTCTCCCTGTCTAGACCTGTTGCACTTGAAAGCTTTCTGTAGCTGTTCAGTGGAGAGGGGCTGTGGGCCAACAGGGATGAGAGACTTCTCTGCTATTGTGTTGATGAGACGTGAGAAGGTACCATACAGGGAGGCTGCAGTGAACAGGGAGCAAGCCACACCAAAGAAGATGTAGTAACCGTGGAGAGGGATCTGGGGGATTGTTGAGACTGTGAGCAGGACAAAGAGCATGTTGTGGATCAGTTCCAGGACATCCATGTTCAAGCTTCCCACACAGAGCACCAAGGCTGCTGCCACAAAGAACCAGTCGCCCACCATCGCTTGCCTCCCTGAGACTACTGTACTCTCCTCTACAATCAGAACAGATAGCACAAACTCATCCCAAGCCTTGATGAGCCAATATGTAGCATGAAGACCAAACTTAGTCGTGTGGTAGCAATCTTGGCGCAGATGGGCGTAGTAGCTTGAGAACAGCTGGGTGACTGAGATGATTGAGACCCATGTAGCTCCTAAGCCAAAGGACTTCATGTACCCAAAGCTGTAGAAAGCAAAGATAAAGGGGGCAATAGTGTCACAGAAGAAACCCAAGGCCATGGGCTCTGCATATTTTGTGTTTTTCTTCTTCTCTTGGCCAATGCTCTGGGCGCTTGCTGAGTTGGCGGTCCCTAGCAGGAGAACATTAAAGAGAGGGGTACCAAAGCCTTTGAGGACTAGGCGCTGAGTCAGACCTTTGACGAGCAGTGCAGCCGAACCATAGATGGCAAAAAGTAGAATGAGCAACTCAAAAATCCCAGAGACCACAAGAGCCCAGGAGCTCGCTACTACAGCTACTGCTTCAAAAATTAAGGTCACCGTGATGGCCCCAAAAACAAAAGGCATGATGTAGTTGACTGTGGCAGAGCAGAAGGCTAGGAGGAACGACAGAAGGATATAGGGGACCAGACCAGCAATCGCTGACTCTTTTATGGACAAAAATATATTGTTCACTGGGATGTCTGAGGTGGCATTCTGAGACATGTTGCTCATCATGTTAGTGGACAGGGGAAGATTGTTCATCATTTCATGTGCTAGAGGAACTGTTAAAGGAGTTTCATCAAAGGCACCAAAGTAGATTCGAGTGGCACCATAACTGCTCCAAAGAGCAGCATAGCCAATGAAGGCAGTGCCACTCAGATGATCATATTTTCTGAAGGAAAGCAGTCCAGCCACCAGTTGGCATATACCACCAATTAGGATGAGATGGACACCTGTAAAAACCATGAAACTGAAATTAGTAGAACAATTTTGCATGGTTGTCTATTGTATTATTGTGCAGTTTTCTAAGAATTTCACCTGCAAGGATGTTCTCCACTCCTACTGGTGCAATGCCAGTATGCGCTTCATTGAAGTTCTGCAGAAGTACGAGGAATGCACTGATCCCATTGGCTAAAATGCCCAACACTCCTGGTTCAGCATAGAAACTGGCTGGAAACCCATCTAATGCTGCCATAGTGTCAATCTGCAGTTTTACTGAAACAATGAAAGACATGACGCAGAGAACATGTACATGAATGAAAATACAGTACTCTGATTATTTTCCATAAAAATATAAAGTGCAATATTGAATGCACAAATGATTCAACACAAATTGAAAATACTGTGTTAATCTTGCCAAAGTGGAATAATCTCACTGTGTTGCAAAAATATGGGGAAAAAATAGGATTAAAAGCAAATTATAATAACTGTAAGAAACAGATATACTGTAAGGAACAGATGACATTCTCCAAATATGATGATTAATTACTTAACTTAAAGTCAAACTGGAGCATTCTGCTCCTTCAGGCTCTTTTCTGTCTTATCTCCCAGAGAACTGAAAGTCCCTGACCCAACCAAGTAATGAGAGGGCTGACCCACTGTTGCAACCTGACAGCAGCAAGGGGCACAGAGGAGTAACTGTGTTCACCTTCCCTCTCCTAATGACTGGAAAGCAGGTGTCCACATAAGTAAAGCATTTATTCTTAACTAACACACTGATGTTTACCCCCAAAGACAAGCACACCGTGTACTAAGGTACTGTTTTTGATTCTGTCAGTTATACTTTTTCAGCGCTGACATTTAGTAATCTCATATATAACAACTTTAAATTGTAATAATTCTGTTGTAGATAGATTAAATATCTATCTACAACAGAATTATTATATTATATGAAAAGCACATTATGACCATCAATTCATTATGTAGCACTTCAAAGGTTACATGTAATAAAGTCTTTGTGCTAGGCAGCAATAAGGAAAATTAAAATGGAGTCTTACCTACTTAAGATGGTCAGACAGGTGAACTGTGAGTTGTTCTGAAGCAGGGAAGAAAGTTTGTCATAAATAAGGCTTCCCCATGTGTAGGAGGAGTTCATGAAAATTCCCCTACACTATCCTATAACCTGCCAGCTGGGAGGTGACATCACTGCCTCTCATCTTAGACAATAAAGTACCACTCCTCCCTCCTCCTCTTCTGGGGCTGGTTATGACGATGATGACGATGATGATGATGAGGACTACAGTGGAAATTCCTCCTTTAAATCTGATAATGTTTTGTTATGGATATGCTTGCCCTTCCTTGTTCCTCCCTGGCTGGTATCAGGGGCCATTGTAAGTCCTGGCCTATATAAGGCAGGTGCACTCTCAGTATGAAAAGCATCAGCATCTTCAACAACCTGTTGACTGCAAAACTACTGCATCAGTAGAGAGAGAAGAAATAAGAGCAACGTGAGAGAAACAACTGACTGAAGCCATGATCTCCACACTACAGGTAAAGATTGAAAGATATTTTTCAAGCCTATTTTCCTATATTAATAGAGATCTGATGTGTAATAAAAGGCATAACTCATGTTCATGTCTAAGTCAGTAAAGCAGATTTCTGGGGACATTTACAATTACATTCAGTCGAGTGAAAGGTTTAACATGAAACTCTAAAATCAGAACATAACTTTCACTGTGTAGGTGTTGCACCTTACTTGCCAAATGTGGAGCATATTACACATGCTGTCTCACACCTGCTACAGCACCACCTCATCAGCAAGCCTTTCAAAAGAGGCACAGACATGATTTAATTAAATCTGAGTCAGACAAAGAAAAGGCTTAAAATCACTGCACATGTCCACAGCCTGTAATAGGTATGAGATGTGAATAAAATACTTTATAGTTATACAATAAATGCTCTCCCTAGTGGTTTACAGGTGTCATTAAAGGTACTCTGTTTCCTTTTTGTCCTGCAGAAAACCATTAGACCAATGTGGGCTGTCAGAGGACTGCACAAGTCAGCAGTAGAAGGTAAACTCAACTTTTTTGTACACTGTAGAAAAATATTTGTTCTTTACCTCTTTCCTTTTATCTGATCACTACATTCCTTGCTGCTTTCCCCTTGCAGTTTTGAAGTGCCCGGCCCCTGAGGACACAGTCACAGCCAGCTTTGGGAAGTTCATCAGTGAAATAAAGCCCCAGCACTTGTCCTCCGTAGTCCTCCACCGCAGCAAAAGGATGGTGCTGGACAGCATTGGGGTTGGTGTGATTGGCAGCACGACAGACGTGTTTGAACTGGCCCTGCAGCACTGTCAGGTGAGGCGCAGGAGGGGAAGGGAAAAATAGGGCAAAATAAGGTTTTTATCTGATATGAGGCAATGAGAAGGATGAAAGCAAATGCCTGACCTTACAGAAACAATCGTCCTAAGTCAGAACATATGCTGTGTGTGGACAGATGAGATGAAGGAAAGAAAACACTGGTTATTATTATAATAATGCACTAATTTAACTTGGGAACAGACAGGTTTTTAAATTTCCCTCATTGGTTTATGACTTACAAAGAAACTTATTCAGCCTCCATTCACTGAAGAGTGATGTGCCCAAGCTATTTCAAGGTCGTGTTATGTGTACCTGTCTGAATGATGACTGTAAAATATTGTATTAAAAATGCCCGTGTGACAACTCCCTGTGTTTACCTGTCTCTGTCTTTTCCCCTCAGCACATGTACACTTCTGATGACATCAGCTCTGTATACGGACGCAGCGGCACCAGGCTCTCCCCGACACTGGCAGCTTTTGTCAATGGAGTGGCGGTGAGTATAAAAAGGTGGAAAATATGTGTCACCATTGTCCCCAGTGCACCATACAATTTCAGATGCACTAATTCCATTACCTCAAGCAAACCATGGCTATTTTATACTCAGCTATGGAACAAACTGGGCAGCCAACCACAAGCGGGGGCTGATGAAAATCCTGAATTGACCTTTTCATGTCAATTTATATCATTATGTCTGCAAACAGCTTGGCCACCGTTCCTGAAGAGGCCATCAGGATGCAAAGCTAATTTCTGCAGCCTGCATTTGCCTCTGATGGTTGAAGCTTGTTACGGCAATTAAAGAGATTTTCCAATTAAAGCACACTGGCCACAGAGCACAGATAGGGAGTGAAAAATTTAACAATGACCATCTAATTGTTTTCAATATTTAATAAACTATTTTGTACAAACATTTGATTATTAAAATCTTCTTGCTTCAGACTCATTCCATGGACTTTGATGATACGTGGCACCCTGCCACTCATCCCTCGGGAGCAGTCCTTCCTGCTGTGTTAGCACTCAGTGACATGATGCCCGCTAACAGAAAACCTAGTGGCCTGGACTTCCTGCTGGCTTTCAATGTCGGCATTGAGATCCAGGGACGACTGATGAGGTTCTCTAATGAGGCCCACAACATCCCCAAGAGGTGAGCGCCTCATAGCGTGAGTCCTGTTGAAAATAGATACTGTAATTTATATAGGCTAATAACAGCAGGTGTTGTACTTTACCTAAGCGATCATTTAATGGATATAAAGCCAGTTCCTTGTTGAAGATCCACATGAGTCTGAAGAGATCCATATATGACTCTGCTGATCTCTGCAGTGTGGTTTAAAAGAAGGCCGGTGCAGTGTAATGCGCAGTCTCTTAGTGGTGTCAATGAGCTGTGAAAGGCGTGTTACTGGGACAGCAGAGGCTCTGTGGGTAGTGTTAGCACAAGACTCTATTTGTCAAGTGTTTACACCAAGTCAAATGACCCACCACTTTATTTGCTTGTTTTTCAAGTACTGAAATGACTAAAACCCAACTTCCTTTAAGATCCCTGAAATATGCCGTGTCTGTCTGTGGAGAGGAGAGTCACGTAAAAGAGAAGCTGTTTGTCCAAAGAGACACCTTTACACACAGGAGCTCTGCTCTAGCCATGATGGAGAATTCTCCTTTAGTCACAGGCCTGAATTCTTCCAAAAAAAAACTAACCAAAGTCTCTCTTCTCTCTTCTCTCTCATCACCAGGTTTCACCCTCCCAGTGTGGTAGGGACAATGGGAAGTGCAGCTGCCTGTGCTCGCCTCTTGTCCTTGGATCACTCCCAGTGCAGTCATGCCTTGGCCATAGCTGCTTCTCTATCTGGAGCCCCAATGGCTAACGCTGCCACTCAGTCTAAACCCCTTCACATTGGCAACGCATCACGTCTGGGGCTGGAAGCTGCCCTGCTGGCCTCCAGAGGCCTAGAGGCGAGCCCCCTGGTCCTGGACGCTGTCGCAGGCGTGGCCGGCTTCAGTGCTTTTTATGAAGACTACGTGCCACAGCCTTTAGAGTCACCCAGGGGTGACAGCCATATGTTCCTGCTAGAGGAGCAGGACATAGGCTTCAAGCGTTTCCCCGCCCATCTGGGGATGCACTGGGTGGCAGATGCTGCAGCCTCGGTCCATAAGCTTCTTGTGGGAGTTGGTCCTGGCACTGTCTCCCCAGCTCAAATCCAGGACATCCAGCTCAGAGTCCCCAAATCAAAGTACATCAACAGGCCTTTCCCTGAGTCAGAGCATGAGGCACGCCACTCCTTCCAGTTCAATGCTTGCAGCGCCCTCCTGGATGGCGAGGTGACTGTGCAGTCCTTCACACCCTCTGCCATGAGTCGCCCTGAGCTGCTCGATCTGCTGAGCCGTGTTCACATGGAGCATCCCCACGACAACCCGGCTAACTTCAACCGCATGTATGGCGAAGTCCAGGTGACACTTGCTGGAGGAGACATCCTGAAGGGGCGCTGTGACACCTTCTACGGCCACTGGCGCAACCCACTGACCAATGAGAGCCTGAGGAAGAAGTTCAGAAACAACGCAGGGACGGTGCTTCCATCAGAGAAGGTTGAGAGGCTGATTGATGTGGTGGACGAGCTGGACAAACATGAGAACTGCACCTCCCTTCTCTCACAGCTGCAATGAACATTTACAGACACACATATAACAGCAAAACAGAAACCATTGTACATAAATACATAAGAGGATATTTTACCCAGGAATTTATTGTCAAATGAATTTAAGTGTGCCTACTACACTTGGTAATGGTATCTTCATAGGAAGCAGCTATAGGCCACAACACTATAGTTATTTTTTCATATTCCAGTCTCATTTAGCAGAGCTGAAATACATTGAAATACCTGTTGAGCCATCAGAATATATTATTTCACTGTTTTATGAAGAAATCAATATTATGGGTTGTAAAATGTGATCTAGTTACTTTGCAAAGGGAAAATGAAGGAAGATTCACATGCTTAATACTTTCAATTATTAATATTGTATATACATTACTGTACTTTATACTGCATATTCCTGCCAACAATGAATTCTTAAAATGTTAATGTTGTTGATTGATATTAAAACCTTTTATCAGACAAATGTGGCATATTTGTTTGCGTGTTTTTGATGGAATAAAACTACTCAATTGCATGATCTGGGAGGAGAATGGTTTTTTAATCTGTTGTCTCTGGCTCAGAAAAAAAATACTCACATATCTTCCTGTGAGTGATTAACCATTCTGTGGAGAAAATTAGTGACTAACGAGTAGTGCGTAGTGCAGCACATTAGTCTCATATTAGCTTAATCACTTCGAATAAATCATTTGGGAATGTCCGTAATCCTATTTTCATCAAAGGGACAAACATTCTTGTGTCCTTCAGTTGAAACAAGCAGGAAATTTGTAGAGTAAGAAAAGTTAACAAGTAATGGCTGTGCATACATAACATAAAGGTTTTTCCCATAAAGGTGTTTTTCTTTTTCAAGTGAGTGCATTTGTACAGTACAGACAAAAAGGAGCGTCTGTTTGAAATAAAGAGCAGTGTGGGAAGAGAGAGCTGTTTTCCTCATTCCAGTGTGTGATACCTAAGTTAATATTTGTCAATAAGTCTGCAAAGGAGGAAATGGACACCTGTCTTGGAGACATCAGGCCTCTGTTTCACACACTTGCCCAGTTTAGCACTGCATGACACAAGAGGAAACCAACAGGTCTTTGCCCTGTC